TTTCATGGTATTGTTATATCGACAAATAAAAAATACCATTAAAACCGTTTTACTACTTCATTTTTTTTAGAAATGAAAAAATCTGATTAGGATTAATTTACGTTTTAATATCGACTCTCCAATTCACTTGATTTGTAGATTGGTCCTGTATTTTTGCCTCCTCGGCTGAACGGTGCAGCGTATCTCGAGATTTTACAAAATCAGTTGCCTGGGCTTTTGGAGGACGTCCCACTTGCGACACGACTGCCACTCATCTACCAGCATAATGGAGCCCCCGCCCATTTTACACGTAATGTCACGAGGTATTTAACAAAGTTGCCAGTAACCTTCCCGGGTCATTGGGTGATAGGAGCTAGCGCTTTTAATAAATATTTATGTAACGCAGAGTTGTCAGAAAGCGTTTCAGTCTTATAACTGAGTGGCGATTGTGTCATTTATTAATAATTGTTTATTCAAGAGAGTTGCCAGTAAGCTTTTCGGGTCTTTTGGTGATATGCGCTCGTGTTAGTAATAATTATTTATTTGACAAAGTTTCTAGTAAGCGTGCCGGGTTCTTTGCAATTGGTGATAAGCGCTTAAATTGTGTCATTTATTTATAATTAATTATTCAACAAAGATGGCAGTAAGTGCTCTGGGGTTATTGGGTGATGACCGCTTGTGTTATTAATAATTATTTATTTAACAGAGATGGCGCTTGCAGTAAGCGCCTCGGGTCATCGGGTGATAAGCGCTCGTGTTTTTAATAATTAATTATTTAACAATAATGACAGTTAGAGCTCTGGGTTATTAATGATAGGCGCTTATGTCATTAATGATTGTTTATTCAACAGAGTTTCCAGTAAGCGTGCTGGGTCATTGGGTGTTTGGCGCTTGTGTTATCAATAATTATTTAGTTAAGATAGCTGCCAGTAAGCTTCTCGGGTCTTTTGGTGAAAGGCGCTTGTGTTATTAATAATTATTTATTTTACAGAGTGGATAGTAAGCACTCCGGGTCATCAGCCAGGCTATAGGTGCGTGTGTTATTGGACAATATGTGAATTCCGCGCCTCACGTTTGGTACTATTTTTTTCTGATCTAGTAATTTCCTACGTCAGAGAGGTTGGGTCCTGGAGTATTTCTAACTCTGGCTGGAACTATATTTCATCACTGGCAATAATTTAGGAAATAGTGATCCACGCATGCGTGAATGTCAAGTATTTAGTATTTAATACTTGACATTCACGCATGATTGCGTCACAACTATTTTCCAGATTATTGCTGGAAATCCAATTTCTATCAATGAATTATTTATATCAACGAACCTGTTATCAAACTCACCGAAGCAATTAAGAAGAGGTCATAAACGGTTTATTGACCGTAGAAGCAAATTGAAGTGTTATGTATTTATTGTGTTATTACCTGTCAAAGATAAGCCAATTCTTTTTCTTAAAAAATATTTTTTTTTTCTATTTTGAGACAGAAGCAATAAAAATTTATCGCATGGGTGGTCGAAGCAATTGAAAATATACGACCCTTTATTTTTTATTTTTGTATACACAACACTTTGCAGGCTGGGGTGTAGGTGTAGGTAGTCTTATAGACATATTAAAAATAGATTGCTCGGTTTTATGTACGGCGCTGAAGCACCTGTAAAAAGAGACACAACATTGAACGTGTATATCCGTCTCTCTCGCACGTTACCCTATCTCAAGTTGTGACGTCAATCATGACGACATCTGTGACATCGCCAAATACGTCATTCATGACGTCATAAATGACACCACATTTACGTCAATACGACGTCATTTACGACGTCGCAAAAGACGTACTTCACGACGTCTCAAAAGACGTCATTTACATAGGTTGTTGTTAAACAAAGGGCTGTTTGAAAGCATTTGATGGCGTCATGGAGACTACCATCAGGATAGTCACACTAAAACTAGGGGGTTCAAATATTTTTTATACTAAAAAAAAATTTTCTCTAGTAGAGAAGTAACTTTCTAAATTCAAAAACTTTTTGAATCCCTCTGTTTTGGTGTCATCCTGATGGTAGCCTCTATAAGGAGATCAAATGCTTCCAAACAGCCCTTTGTTGAACAACAACCTATGTAAATGACGTCCCTACTGAAAAATATTTTGTAATTACATTTGTAATTACACTTGTCAAGCCATTTGTAGTGCTACTTGGAATTCCACTTGGAATTACACATAGGGTTTAAGAATGGAAATTTCAAGTGGAATGCCAAGAGTTATTTTAAGTAGAATTACAAATAACAATTAGAGATGAATTTTTTTTCTTTTTAAAATAGTTTAAAATAGAATCGTACGCAGNATAGGATTTTAGAATGGAAATTCCAAGTGGAATGCCAAGTGTTATTCCAAGTAGAATTACAAATAACAATTAGAGATGAATTTTTTTTCTTTTTAAAATAGTTTAAAATAGAATCGTACGCAGCGTAATGGTCTTAATTGGTGTGACCATCAGTATAGTAACACCAAAACAGGGGGATTCAGTTCATTTTGAGAAAACTTGAAAAAAAGTAGAAGATTCTATTTTCTCTAAGTTCGTGAAAAAATACTTTAATCGCCCTGTTTTGGTGTTACTATACGGATGATAACACCTGTAATGGCCATTACGCTGTGCACGATTCTATTATAAACTATTTAAAAAAGAAAAAAAAATTAATCTTCAATCATTATTTGTAATTCCACTTGGAATTACACTTGGCATTCCACTTGAAATTTCCATTCTAAAACCCCATGTGTAATTCCAAGTGGAATTAGAAATGGCTTGATAAGTGTAATTACAAATGTAATTATAAATGTATCTACAAAATGCTTTTTAGTAGGGGTCTTTTGAGACGTCATGAAGTACGTCTTTTGTGACGTCGTAAATGACGCCAATGTGATGTCATTCACGACATCATGAATGACGTATTTTGCGATGTCACAAATGACGTCATGATCGACGTCATAACTTGAGATAGGGTAGCAACGTCTCTTTCTACTTGTACTTTAGCGCCGTACATTAGAACGAGCAGTCTACATTTTTTATGTCTATGGGTACCCTGTTTTGTGTGTGAATAGAATTATGTATAATCACCTGATTATTGTAAAATATACAATGAATACAGTTTATTCAGTATTTTAATAAACAAATTTTACGATTTGTTTATCTTTTTATAAGAATTTTAACATGAAAAGTCAGTTTTATTGTTAATCTCGGGCAATCTAATTAACGTTATCATACGTACGAAGCTTTTTATTTAATACTGCTTTTCGATCGAGGTAAGTTGTACTTATTTTCAGCAGTAAAGTGTAAGTATAGTCAAACAACGCGCTCTCAACGCTCATTAGTGGAAAATCCAATATGAAAGGTCGCTCGTTCCAAGCCTCCTGATTAGTAAAGTTGATCGGTTCGGTGTCTGAAGAGCCAACCTAATGCATTTTTCACACAATCAGAGATGAGAAGAGAGATTGCTAACGCCAATGCTACGGCGTGAGACAACTTTTTTCCACTGATCGGGGCGACCCGCCGCGGCCAGCCGTCGAACCAAGGCGCACATTTTTCGAGAGTGCGAGACTCGTATCGAAGAGCGTGCGCCTACAAGAAGAGAAGTGGATTCGCGTGGAAATGAGCATATAGGCGCACATTTTGGCGACACGTAGAAGGGGTATTGGGGTATACCGAATGTGTGCCTACGAGGAGAGGAGTGGAAATGTTGACTATAGCTATATATCTGAGCGCACAGCCAAAGCAAGCGACGACATGAGTTTTTCTCTTTTGACTGCAACCGAGTATATGCTATATATATTTAACTGACTCTTACTCTCT